AGAATCTCGATCAGTAGCACTACTTTCTCACGCGATCCTCCAGGTGAACCTAGCGAATCCTCAGCCATCCGGCTCATTCGAAGCCACGCTGGTTTCTTCCCGTGGCAAAAGCCCCGAACATCCCATGGATCCGTATTCTTTCTGGGCGACCTTCTTCATCATTCTTGGAACTATTCACTGGAGAGCCAGCACCGCGAATCTTGCAGACTTGGCGTGCGTGGCACGGAACTTTTGGAAGAATCGATGTGCCGATAGCCCAGAGGAAGCCCGCCTGGAGAAGGCCGTACGAGAATTGCGAGAAAAGAACTATGTTCTGGCATGCCGCTTTTTGCAGCATGCCAATTTCGTTTCACTGATGACCGCTCCTCTGGTGCACGGTTCAAATCAACGATCGTGTGCCCTCATCATGACGGCTTATGCGATTTCCTACACCATGAACACTTGCATAGCCAAGGGAGTTCTGGTGTTGGAGACTACCGGCCTGCGCAAGGTCGCTAGCTTCTACTACTCCGTGATGTTTGCAAGCATCGGGCTCTGCAGCAGTATGTGTTTTTGCGCTTGCTGAAGGCTGTTTATACTATTTCTCTTCAGTTAATCTTGTTTTCTCGTCAAACCCTGCCCTAAACACTCAACCTTTACCCCTAAGCCCAGGTATTTGGATGCCACAGTCCGGTGTTTCCGAGAGGGCTTTCCTGCTCTTCCAGGTCATGGCTTCTCAGATGCCTAGTAGGGTTTAGGGTTTAGGGTTTCCAGTTTTGCCACGAGGAAACAGCCCAGCAATATTCCTGACCTGAACTTGTCCGGCCCCGAAACCTTAAACCGTCAGCTTAAGCTGTTTCGTGCCACTTCATGGGACACCTCAGGGAAGCGTTTGCTATGTTGAAAGTGCAGTTCATGTTCCAGCTAGCCTTGCGCTCGTGCTCGGCAAGTTTTGCCACGTGTTCATGGTTCACGGCACAGATCCTTGGCATTTATTGGGAGAAAATCTTCCAACCCAAAACCGAAAGAAGGTGGGTCCTACAGCCGCCAAACTCATTGTAGTATCTCATTTGTGATTACTCTGTTCCCATTTATAACCAACTCCTAGTATTGTTATTGTTATTATCATTTTTGTTATCATTACACTAGCAGTTTTTGTTTATTTGTATTTTTTGTTAATATTATGGTCTTGCACGGTTTACTAGATTTTTGTTTTTTTATAGTTATAGCAGCAATAGTTAATTTTTAGTATCATTAAGGTAAAGAGCTCCCTCCCTCCCTCCCTCCCTCCCTCCCTCCCTCCTTCCCATTTGTTTTGATCAATGGTTGCCGCGGCGTGGGTTGATGATACTCCCATCTCGAATCCAGATGGCATTTAAGCGCAGGTGTAGTATCTATCATTATATCGACCAGACCAGACATGTTGCTTGGAATCAAAGCAGTCAGGGAAGAAAGCTGGAATACTTTGACGCGGGCGGGCTCACGCGTTTCGGGTTTGGGGCGTAGGGTTTAGAGCTCAAGGTTCACTAATAGTTTAGGGCTTGGGGCTTAGGGCTTGAAGTTTCGGGATTACCGGCATGCCCTCACCAAGGACTTGGACCTCGCGAACTTCCCTTTGGATCATGGTGCCTTTGCGATGCTCATCATCGTCATCTCGGTTGTGCTAGAGCGCACGCAGAGGCCTTGATAACTTAAAAACCCTGCGCCTTAAAGCCTAAACCCTCGAGCCCGAATTAGGACCTACTTACACTCGAAACCCCCAACCCAATGCCTGAAATCCGTCATTTTGAGCCCCGGTGAAATCCGCAGGGATCGCGTGGCAATTCAATTCCGGAATGCCGATGCTGAGTCCATGATCTTTGGATTCCGACAGATGCTTCGAGGTTCTGAGTTTAGGGTTGCAAAAAGGGCTCCCAAAAGGGATTTATAAGGGTTCTGTAAGGTATTGGGGTTCGGAGTTCTGTGTTTAGGCTTTGGGTCTAGGGTTTGGCTTTTAACTTCTGTTTTAGGCGTTCAGATGCTTCGAGGCATCTGCGACGGTGAAGTGTTGCTGGACGATGGTCTTCGCATACAGGCAGCTCGGTTGTCAAGCAACCACAGGCCTTCATTAATTTTTAGGTGCCTGTTTAATGTTGAGGGGCTAAGGCTACACAATTACCATCATTATTCCACAGTACTATCACACACCCCAAAACGTGTTTCCAAGAACGAGGCCTGCTCATAATAATCTCAGTTCCATCCTTCAACCCCAAACCCAGATCCCACAGTGACCTCAGCGTGGGAGTTTGCCTTCCTATTTTCGTGGTCATCTACATTATAAGCATGTAGCTGGGAGCGTCTAGGCCCAAAATCTGCACCCCCAAAGGCCAAACATCACTAAAGCCTAGAACTCCAACGTTCCCAGCAACAGAAAACCGAAGCTTCTGGGAGAATATGTCAGAAGGCCCCACTCATTAATCAGCAAGGCACCGCCTAAACCCTATTACACGTCACCCTGAGCACCAAACCTGATCAACCCTCAACCCTACGTATAGGTTAGGGATTTTAACTTTACACCCCACGACATACCAAACCCCGTAAACCCTAAACCACTCTGCCCAATTAAACCTTAAACCCCTACACCTTAAAGAAAACCCTTAAAAAACCCTCAACCCTACCCTGTCGCCGAAAACCTACCTTGTCAAGGTTCGTTTTTTCTGGTCTCTACATCTAAGTCCTTAAAGAGGTAGGTTTTTTGGGGGCCATAGGTGAAACTAAATCCAAAACTTCCTAAACCCTAAACCCTTAACTTTCCGGCCAAAAACGGACCACAGTAACCCGCAAGGAAGGTGCCACCTTCCTGAACCGGCTTCTTGGCACTGGAAAGGTGCTTGGGCCCGTTGTGTGGTGTTGGGGCGTGGTTGAGGGCTTAACCCTATAAGCCCTATAAACCCTGTAAACCCTATAAACCCTTGTTAGGTTTGTAGCCAGGCTTCGCTTCCTTGTTGGCTGGGGGCTGCTGGCATAGATCTTCTTACCTTGAGCAACCCAGCAAGCAACCAAGCAAGCAACCCAGCAAGCAACCCAGCCAGCAAGCAAGCAAGCAACCCAGCCAGCAAGCAAGCAAGCAACCCAGCCAGCAAGCAAGCAAGCAAGCAACCAAGCAACCAAGCAACCAAGCAACCAAGCGAGCAAGCAAGCAACCCAGCAAGCAACCCAGCCAGCAACCAAGCAAGCAACCCAGCAACCAAGCAAGCAAGCCAGCAAACAAGCAAGCAAGCAAACAAACAAAACAAACATAAAAAAAAAAACAAGCATGCAACAAACAAACAAACACACCATCATGACACACAAACCCACTTAAAAATCTACAACTGAAGAAACAGAATCAGCAGACACACCAAAACCACAAAAAAAAAACAAGCAAATTACCTCCCATGCCCACATCTTCCGTGCCGTTTTCTTTGTCTGTCGCTCTTTGTTGTGCATTTATCTTTTCTTGGAGTTCTAGAGTTTGCAGTGTTTGTGGGCTCTTAACATCATAGGAACCCGCTTAAAGCCTCTTTAGGGTTTAGGGTTTAGGGTTTAAGGGTTTAGGGGTTTTGGGTTTAGGGTTTTAGGGTTTAGAGTTTAGGGTTTAGGGGTTTAGGGTTTAGGGTTTAGGATTTTGGTAGAGCCTCAATGTATAAAATACTCAGGGGATGGCCGCTTGCTTGCTCGCTTGGTTGCTTGGTTGCTTGCTTGGTTGCCTGCTTGGTTGCTTGCTGGCTGGGTTGCTTGCTTGGTTGCTTGCTGGCTGGGTTGCTTGCTTGGTTGCTTGCTTGGTTGCTTGCTGGGTTGCTTGCTGGGTTGCTTGCTGGGTTGCTTGCTGGATTACTTGCTGTGTTGCTTGCTGGGTTGGTTGGTTGGTGGGTGGGTGGGTGGGTGGGTGGTTGGGTTGGTTGGTTGGTTGGTTGGTTGGTTGTTTGGTTGTTTGGTTCTTTGGTTGGTTGGTTGGTTGGTTGGTTGGTTGGTTGGTCGGTGGGTTGGTTGGTTGGTGGGTTGGTGTGGGTTGTTTGGTTGGTTGGTTGCTTGCTTGCTTGTTTGCTTGTTTGATTGGGTGTTTTCTGTTTTTCTTGGAAGTCACAAATACAACACAGAAAATCTCAAGGGCGGGTGCTTTTTTGTTTTTAGATTTGTCATTTGTTGTTGTTCATGTGTGTGTTTTTTGTGTGGTTATCGCTCCGGGCTTGATTTACCGGTTCATATGTTGTCTGCTGTTTGTGTGTTCTTTGTACATCATATCTCCCAGAAACTCCAGGCTGTGTTCTTTGAGCTACAATGGCTGTATAAGGCCAACGTGTATGCCAATATAATAAAAATACATGTATACATATACAATATAGATAGGTACATGGAGCCTTCTGGTACACCGGGTATATGTATATATATATATATATATTTATTTATTTATATTTATTTATTTATTTACAAGCCATTCATCACAATCAGAGCTGGGGCTTAGGGATTAAGGTAATGCAGCCTTTAGCTTGGTGTTGAGGGCCTGGTTGAACTGAAAGCCTAGCATCGCCTGGTCACAGGAGTTTGACGGCTTTGACGGCTTTTAGGGTTTAGGGTTTAGGAAAATTAGGGCTGAGGCTCCTCTCTAGCAGCGAATGCCTGGACAAGACGATCTTCCAAGACCTTTTGGTACAGGAAGCCTCTCGTCACAGGGCTTAGGGTCTCAGCGCCATATATGCGATTTTGGGTTGAATGAAGGGCCGGCTGCTTTACGATAAACCGTCGGAGCTTGGAGCCTGTTGTGGCCGAAAGCCAAGGCCCTAAACCCTTCTACACTGATGATGTTAGGGTTTAGGGTTTAGGGTTTAGGGTTTCTGATGGAATCGAAGGTCGAAGACGACTGCTTCGACCGCTTTCTTTTTGACACAAGCTCCACCCCTGACCCTACCCACTAGATTCTGCTGGATCCTTAAAGCCCTAAACCCCTAGACCCACAGTTCATATAATTCCTAAAACCCTAACGTGCTGGAACCCAATAATTCCGAGACCCTAGAACCTTAGAATTCTTCCTAGGCCGTAAATTAAAGCCCTATAATTCCCGAGCGGTAGTAGGACTCCTATAACTACTAGACCCTCAACGCGTAGGATTCCGAAGCTGTTGTAGGATTCAGAGCCCTATAATGATTTCCGAGGACTCTGAAGGACCTGCAATTCCTTTAGCCGAGTACTTGGAGGCCCAGGGGACTTACTAAGTTGGTTATAAGTAGGGTTATATTTGGGGTATCTCCATTTTGGGTGCTTAAACTCTACTTAGAACCTACTTACGAAGTCCCCTGGGCCTCCAAGCAGGCCTCCTGTGTCAACCAAACTGTACCCAGACTCCTATATTCCTGAGCCCTACTCCTTTAGTAGGACTCCGCCGAGCTCCTTACAAACTTATACACCCTACACCTTAAACGCCCTAATCCCCAAACCCTAGTAGGACTCTGATGAGCTGGACCGATTTCAGAGATTCGTCTCGCAGCCGCTGAATGTCGACAAGTCTGCTGCGCAACTCCCTGCCCAGTGTCTCCGCCTTTCTTTGCAGCACCTCGGTCCTGGCTGGAAGGGTTTTTGGTGTTTAGGGTTTACCTGTTTAGGTCGTCTTGTTATTCGTTTTGTTTACAGTATGTTCTAGAGATATCTCTGATTCGCCGTGTTTGTTTCCCTTCCAAGGGGAATGCAGTGGTCCTCCAGTGGTGGGTTACGTTTACATAGAGTGTGCGCCTATGTACCTGTAGCCGCAAATACCTACCTTTGTAGGGTTCCTTACTATGGTCCCTCTCTCCCTCGCAAAGGTTTCTGATGGGGTCAACTGCAATGCCTCCCCTACCCCAACCCCGCCACGCCTCCATAAAGCCTGAAAGACGGCCGCATTACAGATGATGGTCCTTCCCTAAGAGTCCATGTACCCAGATAACATATACTTTGACCTTTGGCCCCAAATTACCTATATAGGGACTAATTTAAGGCCAAAGTATATGTGCATGTATATATATATATATCCCTAAACCCTAAACCCCGAACCCTAAACCCATATATACTCGGGCACATGGACCCATAGGGCTTTCGAGAAGGGCAGGGCAGGTAGGGGTTCCGAGTTTACACCAGCCCCAAAATCCCCGAAAAACAACGTGCGACATGTGCATTGGTTTGCAGCTATAGCGGGCTTTTGTCTCTACTGCCGCTGTTGGGGGATCCTAAACCCTAAACCCTAAACCCTAAACTCCTACTCCGCCTCTTGCTCCTGCTCTCCCTCTCTTGCTCCAGCTCCAGTGCTGGCTGCTGCTCTTGCTCTCGCTCTAGTCCAAAATAGGTTTCCAAGGCATATAGATGTGTTCAGGGTTTAGGGTTTAGGGTGAATATTTCATGATTACTTGGAGGTTCATGGGTAGTTATAAGTGGAGTTATAAGTCCCCTAATATGGCTTCTAACTATAGTCATCCTACTTATAGCCCCACTTGTAACTACCCATGGACCTCCAAGTAGGGTTTAGGCCCAAAACCCTAAACCCTAAACCGTAAAGGTGAATATTTCATGATTGGGGGGGGGGGGGTGTCTAGTGTACCCATAGGCTCCTAAGTAGGTCCTTTTTGGGATTCCCTTATAGGATTCTAAATATATACCATAGAAAGGAACTACTTCGGAGCCTCTGGGTAGACCCCCCGGCAGGTCTTCCACTTCGCATCGAGCTGGGGTGGACGTGTATCTGGATCCTTCTGGGCTACAATTTTTACATTTTTTGTTATGATAAAACCCCAATAAGGACTAAAAATGATCAGTTTTAAACCCTAAGCCCTAAACCCTAAACCCTGAACCCCAATCCCTAAACCCTAAACCCTAAACCCATAAAGAACCCTTTAAAGGAAGCCTAGGATCCCTATAGATCCCTTTAAAGGAACCCTAACCCCCCTAGCCTACACCCTGAACCTCCCTGCAGGCTTTGGGTTGAGGTCTCCGAGCTTTATTCAAGTTTAAGGCCTCAACTCAGGGTTTCTTAGGGTTAAGGTTTAGAGGTTTAGGGGTTCAGGGGTTTAGGGGTTTAGGGGTTTAGGGGTTTAGGGGTTTAGGGGTTTAGGGTTTAGGGGTTAGGTTTAGGGGTTTAGGGGTTTAAGGTTAAGGTTTAGGGGTTTGGGGATTAGTAGTATCCTGGGCGTTGGCGTCCACGCAGGCAAGACAAGACCCTTTACCTGTTTTGGGTTTAGGGTTTATAGGGCCTGTGCCTCAGAGCATCAATCAGATGCGCCAAGTACACCCTGAAGCCCTACCCAACGGGTCCTAGGTACTGTTATGGGCATACTTCCCCAACCCTAAACCCAAAACCCTAAACCTTCAACCCTAAACCCTAAACCCCAAACCCCAAATCATAATAGTAATTCCTAACATAGAAACCCCAAATTCCAGTATATAGGTTCTCTGGACCCTTGGGGCTAAACGGTTCTTTTGGGGTTTAGGGCCTTCAGCCCTAAAAGTATTACCCTTTTTTAGGGTTCCTCATGATAATTTCCTCGCGTAGTCCTGGACCGGGGGTTCTGGGGATTGGGGTGTGGGCGTTTGGGGGGGTTTAGGCTGTCTTCATGTCGCATCGCTGATTATCTGATTCTATGTGAGGGAACTACTGTGCATTACCTTAAAGACCCTAAACTATGGGAAATATGGTACATCCCTTATAACTTATTCTGGGTGATGTAGGATTTATATCATCAACCGTACTGCATCTCCGGAAAAGCATAGAAACGGAGGTACTGAAACTTGCCCCTTTGCAAAACTAGGACCTCAAGTAGTTTGCAGTTCGGTGGTCTTTGGCCTCAAATGCTTCGGACACATGTGTAAGTCTCGTACCATAAGCCTTAAACCCCTAGCTTCAACCCTACTAGCCCCCGACCCTATAAGCCCTAACCCCTAAACACTCTAAACCCTAAACCCTCTACAACCTAAGCCCTAAACCCTCTTAAACCCTAAGCCCTCTTAAACCCTAAACCCTCTAATCCCTAAGCCCACTAAACCCTAAATGGCCCTAAATAAACCCTCTAAGCCCTAAACCCTCTAAACCCTAAACACTCTAAACCCTGAACCATCAAGGCGAGTTTGCGAGAGCGCTCCAGACGGATCGTGGAAGCGCAGTGGCCACTGGTCTCATGCGAAGAAAGCCCAAACAAAGTAAGCTTTTTTGGGGGGTGAAGTGAGGACTGTCAGGGCTTTGGGTTTAAGGTTTAAGGTTTAGGGTTTAAGGTTTAAGGTTTAGCGTTTAGGGTTTAAGGTTTAGGGTGTAGGGCTTGGGGTTTAGGTTTTAAGGTTTAGGGTTTCGGGTTTAAGGCTTTGGGTTTAAGGTTTAGGGTTTGGGGTTTGCTTGTTGGCTTTAGTGCTTTGGAGTCGTCGGGTCTTGGACTGCACCTTACCATATCTTAAACCAAAGCCTCCACACCCCTCTCTGAGCCCAAATCCCTAAACCCTAAAAACCCTAAACCCTAAAAGCCCTACAAGCCCTAAACCCTAAACGCCTTAAACCCTAAACTCCTAAACCCTAAACCGGCTTTAGTGTTCAGTGTTTAGAGATTTGGGCCCGGATTTGGGCCCATGGTTTCGAGTGCTGCGTTCACGCCTCCTACAATCCGAGGTCCACCTCCGCCGTACTGTAATGTGAAAGCTTGGATAGCCTTAGTTCTCCAATACCCAACCTTTTTTTCATTTTTGGGGTTCGTATAGTTTAGTAGTAGTCTGAAAGTTGAACCTTGTATTTTCCTGGCTTATTGGGGANNTCACGCCTCCTACAATCCGAGGTCCAGCTCTTCGCCGTACTATGAGGTTAGAGCTTGGGATAGCTATCAGTATTGGTTGCTATAGGGTATCTTACTTAACTCTGGTGTAAGATCATGTTTCAGAGACCTGTGCTAATCCTAACTCCCCCTACGTTACATCAGGTCTACGGTGTAAGAACTCGGGTTGAGGGCTTAGGGCTTCGGCTGTTTGCGGAGGCTGGGTTTGGGGGGAACGTTCGGTTTAGGGCTTCGGGTTTAGGGTTTTGGGGTTTAGGGTTTAGGGCTTAGGGTTTAGGGTGCGTTTGGGGGGAAATGTTCAGTTTCTCCAGGCTTTGCGCTTTGCTTTTCGGACCTTTTGCCAG